AAGTGAGTGGTCCAGGGATAGATCTCCAGGCAGGATAAAAGTATGGGCAATATTTTTGTCATGTGTCGCTGTCTGCCCAGCAGTAATTGGGAACTTGGATAATAATCGATTTGCTGATCGTGTTCTGGGGTAATAGTTAGCCAGTGCAGTTTGCGAGTAGTCCAGTCTTCTGGGATTATATCTTGACACTGGGTCATGCAACTCGTCAACTCAGGGTGTGGTTGTTGTGTTGGCAACAGCTTCTACACCTTAAACAAATCCACGCTGAGGACCGGCCATGCTCGAACATGACTGTGGGAAGGGAGGGAGGTAAAGGTCACTCATAACTGTGGGGGTGAGGTAGATGTTACTCGTGCCTATGGGAGGTAGAGGTTATTCATGACTGTGGGAGGGGAGGGAGGTAGAGGTTACTCATGACTGTGGGAGAGAAGGGAGGTAGAGGTTATTCATGGCTGTGTGAGGGGAGGGAGGTAGAGGTTACTCATGACTGTGGGAGAGAAGGGAGGTAGAGGTTATTCATGACTGTGTGAGGGGAGGGAGGTAGAGGTTACTCATGACTGTGGGAGGGGAGGGAGGTAGAGGTTACTCATGACTGTGGGAGGGGAGGGAGGTAGAGGTTACTCATGACTCGGGGAGGGAAGGGAGGTAGAGGTTACTCATGACTGGGGGAGGGGAGGGAGGTAGAGGTTACTCATGACTCGGGGAGGGAAGGGAGGTAGAGGTTACTCATGACTCGGGGAGGGAAGGGTGATAGAGGTTACTAATAACATCAGGGTATTGATAGATAAAAGATAAAATAAAAGAATTATAACCTCTAAATTGAAAAACAAAATTTCTCTTCTCCAGATCTATACGAGGGATATGGACATGTACGAAGACCCAGGCATCGTAGTGACCTTTACAGCTACGTCTCTGGCTACATGGGGGACGAACATAACAGAAAAGTGAGTTGGTGTGGTAAGAAATGTGTTGGTGTGATAAGGGAGGTAAGATAATGTGGTTAGGGGATGTGTGGTAGGGTGTGTGTGTTGGTATGGTGTGTGTGTTGGTATGGTGGGGAGGTAGGGGGGTGTTAGTATGGTAGGAGAGGTGTGGTAGGGGTGTGTGTGTGTGTTTGTATAATATGCGAGGTGTGGTAGGTGGTGTGTGTTGATAGGGTAGGGTAGGTGTGGTAGGGGGTGTGTTGGTATGATAGGCAGTATTGTATATAAGGGGGGGGGGGTAATGTGGCCATAACCCCATCCCCCTTTGCTACTGCTCTCAACTCATTCAACCCAATGCAACCAGGTCGCGAGGGTGTAAATACTGTACTTAGAAAATAATTCAGGCCCATAGTCAAGGGGGAAAGCCTCCAACAGAACAGAGATTTCTGCCAGAGTAATATATCTGCACTGGGCAGATTACACAATATTATTCATTTTTCACACACAAAACTAATTTTGACTAAAGGTAAATTATACTTAAGCATCCCCTCACTGGATCTGCTGACGTGTGCTACTGTTAGTCCTGGATCTGTGTTTGTGCTGTGTGTGTGCTGTTCCACTTGTTGAGTGATGGGAATGAATGTAAATCTGTGTACCTCAGCATTTCAGTTGCTAATATTGATGACTAACTCGCTGAAGCATTACAGTATTTGTTTTGATGTTTGTACTCTTACTATGTTTTCATAAGTGAGTTCTGATATGATAATAATTTTTGGGGAGAATTGCTTTCTTTGGTAGATAATTAGGTGATTAGGCATGCACTACTTTGTCTGCAGTGCACTACTTTGTCTTTCTCGGCAGTGAGCCAATCATCTTCAATTGATGCCAGTCACCAGTGTATGTTTATGAACCATACTGTTTGGGCGGCTGCTCTCACGTCAACAAAAAACGTAAAATTACACCATATCATAGTAGGTTTTTCTATTTAGTATGCCGAGGACTCCAGAGGGTGGAGCCTCATCGCTAGGAGGTTTTTCTTATCAACTAAGGTTGGGTTAGGCTTAATTTAGAAATAACCACTTTTTTAACACATTTGCCAAAACTATGACAGTGTCCACTTTAAAACACAGTGAAATTGCAGTGTTTTTAAATTTGCTTTCTATGAAAAATCAGTGGTGGGTCAGTCGTCAATAATTACGAGTGCTGCTTGCTGAAATCCTGAGTGATATCAACTGAGTGTTGATGCAAGAGGTGAAAAGTTAAGAAAAGGTGTTGTCAAAGCCTGTTGTATTATAGTTTTTTTGTTATATGTACGTCCATTTGTGAAATCTGTGAACTCGAACAAACAGAAAATAATAAATATCAAGCAGTTGAAATAGTAAATATAAAGATAGCATTGGTTTCTGAGTTCTGTTTGACTACATTTGGTCAAGTCAGCATGAAATTGGATGTCGGTGCTAGAATTAATATACAGTTATAAATATTTTTAACTAGCCTAGAATACCAGGTGCAAAAGTTTTGGTTATCATATTGTGATTGATGGTTGTTGATTGTTAATGAGCAAAATCATTTCTAAAACTGAACCAAATAATGTATATTTTCATCGGCCATAAAATATGCCCCCTACTTTCACCAGTGGATGGTAAGGGGTGTGTGTTGGTGTGATAGGAGTGTGTGTGTGTAGTCTACGTTTCATCCTCTGAATTTGCTGGAAAGACAAGAGAACAAAAGTCAATATTCTCACTGACATCAGCTGTAGGAGCATCGAGGGTACCATTATCCATGAACTTTTACGTTGGACTGGCCATGGTACCTGCATGGACGACAGTTGACTATCAAAACAGCTACCTTACAGTCGCTTAACGAATGGTAGATATAACATTGGTAGGCAACAGAAAAGGTATAAGGATTATCTTTAAGATAAACCTGAAAAAGTGTCAAATTGACCCCCACTCCTGGGAGATGATCACTCCGCACCGTAACTCATGGAAGAGCACCACACGAGAAGGTGCCAATACTTTCAATTAGCTTGACTACATACCAAAGCCGACAAGCGCCAGCACCAGAAAGTTGCTGTCGCCGTGTAGTGGATTCCTTCCCTACAAGCACCGAACCTTCTCGAATTCCCCAGCCTACGCCTCCAGCGCCGCCCACGGAGCGGGGGTCATCTATCTACCCACGCCTACCCCCGCCTTATAAGGCCTGACACCGCTGTGACTACCCTCTCTTTCTACACAGTGCCACCAGCAAGCAACACCTCCTCCTCACCGGCCTGGCGGCTCCCCCCGCCGCGCCCGGAGGGGAAGGGGAGTATTGTAGTGGATTCCTTCCCTACAAGCACCGAATCTTCTCGAATTCCCCAGCCTACGCCTCCAGCGCCGCCCACCTCAGAGCTCAACAACGGTGACATTTTTTTAAAAACTCATGTCATTGTATCATAGCTGGATGATCGCCATAGTCGATTCCGAGTGACGGCCACATACGGCTTGTGGTATGCAGCATTCACCCATCGAGTTGAGCATCGCTGGAATTACCTTATACGCACTATCCCTGATATCAGACCCCTCCTCCGCCCTCTGGAAGAAGCCAACAGCATCGTTTTTATTCCAATGCTGTACTAGTGAAACACTTTCACCTAACCTATGCGGAGAAGACACTCCTTAGAGACTGGGAGGATTGGGAATAACCAATCCAAAGGAGCTTGCTGCCACCTCACATCAGAACTAAGTCAAGCTCACAGCAGCTCTGAGAGCATAATAGCTCAGAATCCATGAAGTGTGGTGGATACCAATGAATTAAACAAGATTTGATGGTCCATTACGAAAGAACGACAGCACATCCAAAATGATGAATTGCAACAACTGATGCTGCAATTGCCAGAGAATTTGAAAAGAAAATTCTAAAAACCAGTTTTTGTGATATAGTCCAGAATGCAACATCTAGCGTTATACTTAGGTTTGTAAATGCCTAGCATTAACTCGCCAGGGCAGCATACGGGCAATTAAAACATAGCTATAGCACCGGAGGTGGGTGCCTCGAACTGGCTAACAACGTTGCTGATAAGGGCAAAAGGCTTCAGCCTTAATAAACAAGAATTTACAGATGACACTGCTCTAAGGTATGGTTGATCATTAGAAGGTTTGCCCACCCAATGCATGTGTGGCTCATCATACAGCATTGACCATGCCATTGTGCAAGAAGGAGGACTTCGTTTTCATGAGACATGATGAAGTAAGGGAACCTCACAGCAAATATACTGAAGGAAATATGCCACGATGTTACGGTGGAACCGAACCTCCTTCCATTGGACGGTGAGAATCACAGGACTTCCAACACATCCAAAGAAACCTGTGTGGACATCAACGCTCGAGGATTCTGGATGAGGGAACAACAAGTCTTCTTTGATGACAGGATATTCAACCTCATGGCTGCATTTCACCGTAACCTGTCTCTCGAGGCTGCACACAAGTGGAACGAGAAAGACAAGAATAGGGCGTAAGCGGAGAGAATTTAGTATGTGGATCAAGAGAGCTTCACACCTCTGGTGGTGTTCACAACCTCTGGTGGGTTGGGACTAAGTGCAAGATGCTTTTATGCATGCATGGCTGAGGTGTCATCTGAACAGAAGCAGCAGCCTAGAAGCCATGTTGCAGCCTGGTTGAGATGTCGACTGTCCTTCTCTCTGCTTTGTTCTCAACACAGCTATGGTATTAGGATATTTATTATTAAGGTAATAAAATGGTGGCAAAGGTGTGGCTATTGTGGGAGGCTGGAGGCCACATTAAAAAAAGTATTAGTAGTAGTAGTGTGTGTGTTTGTGTGTGTGTGAGAGTAAGACGTTTAAATTGTTATCGTGATCAGATCACTCAAACTCTGAACTTAAGCATTCAGCTGTCATTTTTGTACCCATACATGCACTATAAATGTCCTTTTTCACACCCACATACACACACAGCTTCTACGCCCTTAACTCATGAGACATAAAGGCAAGCATGAACTTAGCATGCTTCCCTGTTGGGCGCTGTAAACGCTCCTGTGCTTCACCTTACACAAAGATGTAGGGGAGTGCCCAATAAAAAATACAAACCATATGTCGCATAATTCTTCCTGTCTGTCTCTTCACTTCAGATTATTAGTGAGTGTGGAGGTGCGTGAACATGAGGTGGTGGGCATAGATTTTGAGATTGAGTGTTTAACTGCTTCATCAATACCCACTGGTGACGTGCCCACCCCTTACACTGCTGACACTGCCCAGTACTCTCTGATAGGAGACTACGATCTCATCTACACGGTATGTTGACATCTCACCTGTTGTTAAATTGGGAATGAGGTGAGTAATTGGAGTGTTGACAAGGTGTGTTGAGTAACATCCCATTATATCTACTCTACTGATATTATGTGGATTTTGTAGACATAACACTAATGAACTATAAAGGAGAAAATAACGCACAGTAGGGTAGGTTAAGTTGCTAGGAATGTAGGTCTTCCTATGATGATGGGCACCATTAAAGGGTCTGACTAATTACCCAAATGTAGCCGCAATGAAGTCAAATAATGGTCCTACAAGCGTGAATCGGGCTGTGAATCACTTCTCGACTAGTATTTGGTGTCAGGAAGTCACAAAAAATTGGTAAACTTAATTTAATCCGAGTTAATAGATCGAGTGCATGTACCTAACCTAACCTAACCTCGACTAGTATTAGGCGTCACGAAGTCACAAAAAATTGGTAAACTTAATTTAATCTGAGTTAATATATCGAGTGCATGTACCTAACCTAACCTAACCTAACACAACTCAGATTAAATTAAGTTTACCAATTTTTTGTGACTTTATGACACCAAATAATAATCGAGAAGTGATTCACAGCCCGATTCACGCTTGTAGGACCATCATTTGACTTCATTGCGACTACATTTAGGTACATTTGGGTTCATTTGGGTAATTACTCGCTCCCTCGGTACAAGCACGCGATCTATTAACTCCATTTAAATTAAGTTTTCCAATTTTTTTTGACTTTGTGACACCAATTACTAGTCGAGAAGTGGTTGGCAGTCCGATTTATTCATGTAGGACCATTATTTGACTTTATTGCGGCTACATTTGGGTAATTAGTCGGACCGCCATCAAAGGGTAAAGATAGATTCAACTAAGAGACAGGTTGATTTGCGTGATTGTAGAAAATATAATTTATCATCTAATTAATTTTCAGATTACAAGTGATCTGCTGGGCGGGGTAAGTGCCTGGACCAGTACAGCCTCAGTAATATGTCAAGAAATTATTACTGCACCGGTGTTAGTAGCAGAATTGTGGGTTCCCCTCCTCATTAACACCAGCTTTGTGATCTCCTTCAACCAGGTGTGTTCCTCTATGCTACTGGCTCTTGCCCAACACCTTGATAGAGAATTTCGTATTATCTGATGATTACACACACACCAGTTTATTTCATTGGGTGCATAAACACCTAAACAATAACCTAATCTAACCTAATGCTCACTCAACCTCATGTAAACTCATGCTCACTAACCTAACGCTCACCCAACCTCAGGTAAACTTATGCTCACTAACCTAATGCTCACTCAACCTCATGTAAAGTTATGCTCACTAACCTAATGCTCACTCAACCTCATGTAAAGTTATGCTCTTTAACCTAACCTAACATAACCTGATAAACTCAAACCTAGCCTAACCTAACCTTACCTTCCAGGTAGCCTTAGGGTGTTTAATCATCAGGTGAAATAAGATGGGATATCTACTCTTCAGGTCATAAAGAATTCCTAGTAAGAATGAGAATTGTAAGCAAAGAAAAAAGTGTTTGTTGAAGACATGAGTACTTTAGCAAAACATTTATTTGTTCATCAACTTTTATGGCCTGAGACTATGCTGTACTGATCAAATCTAGAGAAATTTTAAAATTGCTTTATCTCTCAGTTCAGTAGCCAGCCATAGTAATTATATTTTGCTGAACATTCTGTAAGCAAGACATTACATTGACTCATTGACTATCTTTTTTGTCATTTTGATATTTTAAGAAAAATAATGGATTTTGTGTTCTAGGGTGCCCCAGTCTTCTCAGAGTTGAACATAGGACCGGAGGTCAAATACACTTACTATGACAGTTAGTATTGTTGTCGGTGTTTTGGATCTCAACACTTTTGTGTAGTATCATTTCCATCAGTATTCCATAATAATTTATTAAATTTTTAACCTTATTTTGAAGTAATGAATCATGACCTGTGATCAATATGTTAGTGATTTAAACTAATTTGAATGAAATAAGGATTTTTTAAAGTCAATTCACCAATGATCCCATTAAATATTGTTTTTCTTTGGTAGATGCAACAAATATTGACTGGGATGTAAATTTGTACTACACTGCAACAGGAACCTATAACCTGACAGGCAATGCTTCTAATCTTGTCAGCTGGGTAAGTGTATGACCATCAAGGGATTCCAGAGGCAAGTCCAAAGATATATTTGTATATTAATACACTGATGAATCTGTCTGAGTTCTAATCATATGTGTCAAGTTCTTAGTAATTTTTAGTTGTTACCTGTATACAAAGATCACATGATATAATTTTAACATGCTATGAAGACAGGACTATTGAGGTAAATAGACAAAAGAGCCCCAACTTAGGTCAATCAATTAAAATAATAATTCTGTCAGCATTTTGCTTTCTTCAATAAAATTAAATTATGAATCAAATGAATACTGTGTTCTGATTGTTCTTTTCAAAGAGCTGTTTACCATTACTAAAACAAAAACATTGCCCAAATCATTATATTGTTAGTACTGTATCTATAATTTCATCACAAAGCAGATTACTAGGCATTCAGATTATTGGTCTGTTCTCTTACTTTGTTATGACCTCTATTGTCCAATGCTAGTATAGAAGGAAACCGGAATACTGTACTCAGAGAAGACCTGTCATGTTTGGTAGTGGCACACTTGACAATGCCTTTCTCATATCTGTCTTGGGCTGAGGATTGAACCCAGAGCGCAATGGTGAGAGATAGGCGAGTTACCCATGTTCATTCACCTGCACTTATACCTGGAACAGTGGCTGGCATGTTTTGTGATATGTGGCAACTCTCTGGCTATTATTGAGAGGTTCCTTACGGCCAATACGGGAGTTGCCACATCTCACAAAATGTTCCAGCCACTGTATCAGGTATAGGTGCAGGCGACTGTACCACCAACACTATTGCTATGGTTAGCTGTCCATCTGTTTGTTTATAAACTGTTTTATATTCTATTCTTATAACACTGCTGGTGCTTTACCACTCATATTTGTTGAAATTTAGTTCTAGAAGTTGGCATCATTCAAATCTCATAGTGGCTGCTCTTACTGTAAACAGAATACAACTTTAAATAGTCAAATTTTTTATTATTTTTATTTTAAGTTAATTTTTGCTGAAACTTTCTTTGAATGTTCCTTGCATGGTCTTTGTACAGTTTGTTTGACAGTAACATTTGCCAACCCAAGTGGATGTTGAGGCATTATTAGTGATGTTTTTTCATTCAATCATTATAAGTTGGGTCTCATGTCTATTCTCTGCTACAATTTATCTTTTTTAATATGTTTTAATCCACTTTATGAATACTACCTACAATAACACTGAAAAACAACAGGTCTGGAGTTGATTGTTAAGTACAGTATAGTGAATTGTCTTATTATACAGATGTTGAAGGTTTGTACAAGGTAATCCATTATGGAACGTGTTAATAAACGTTAGGTGTTTACAGGTACTGTACACCAGCCTGGTGCATGTGGTACCTGTGCTGACCGACAATTGGCAAGCAACTACAAATTGCCCCTGTCTAAATGTTAGTCAAGGGTTTAACCTCATCATAGACCTACCAGAAGCCCCAAATCCACCATTCACAGCAAACATCACCGCCATGTACTCCAGTGGAGATCTTTTCCGTAAGTGACATCTGGAGCATTTTTTTACATTTAAGCATTGTCACTTGTTACTTAAATTTTGGTCAACGGCTCACTTCTCAGTCTCACCATCAGTAAGCATAAGGCATCTGCTGTGCTCTTCTTTTAATGTGCTTAAATATGTGTTAGTGCCAGACTAGCCTGGATTTATAAGAGCTCTCACATGGTTGTGTCACAAATTTAGCGGTAGATTTTTCTTTAGTTCATTACTGTTTCCTCAAGGGTAGTTATGTGTCTTTAGCATAATTGATTATTACCATATTGCTTTAGCACTCTGGGGAACCATGTAGTTTTGGATGCATGAGATGGAAGGAATGTCATTTTTTGCTAACATTTTGAGAAATTTATCAAAAAGTAGGATTATTTGTCTTGCATTATGAAAAAATTACAAAATGAATACAGTACAGTACACTGAAATGTTTAACATGCAAAGCTTCTGTACATCCCTCAAAATTTATTCTGCTATACCTTCCTCATATTTTTTATTTATTTATTTTTATTTTTTTATTTTATTTTTTTATGGGGATTAGCCCACCCTGGCACAGGTCACTGACCCACATCGGGGCCTGGGGGGCGAAAATGTAATAATAATAATAATAATAATAAAGAACCATAAAGAAAAAAATCAAGAGTGAGAAACAATATACCCTGTATGTATGTTGTGTGTTCAAAGTGAGAGAAACAATTGAGACCCTGCAATCGTGTGTAAATGAGGCAGAAAGTCAGATCAGCAACCTGGGACTTGGTCACAATTTTTGTGATGCCATATGGCAGCAGGGTCTAACATTAGACAATACATAATGCTTCCAATATCTTCCCAGGTGGTAGTACCTCCCTGTTTGGTAGCTGCCTACTACCTACTTATCAACTTTGTCATACACAGGCTCTGGAATGTACATGAACATGTTCACGATGATTTACTGGCGGATATAATTCCATAAATGTTTCCTGTTATTGATTTCTGTAGTTACTGATAGCTTCTTAAACTTGAGGCTGTGACCCCTCGTGGAGTGGTCCTCAGCCAACCACATACTATATAATACTTTATCCTCTTTGCCACTGATTGGCCTGTTAGCTACTTAAGCAGTTGGTCACATCTCTGTTATGCACTGTTGGCAAGTATTAGTTCCAGAATGTATCTGTACGTGCATCAGTGCTGGTCAAGTCTGTTCTTGAATGAGCTCCCACTTGGTGCCATCACAACAAGCTCTGGTAGATCATTCCAAGAGTTCACAATTCTCGCTCCTAAAAAGTTTGTCCTGACAATTTTCTGAATTTGTGGCTTCTTCAGCCTTAAGTTATGACCTCTAGTTGGTTGGGCATCTTCCAGCTTCAGGTATGAACACTCGACTGAGTAATGTCCTCTGAGATGTTGATAAACTTATATTATGTCGCCCCTTGCCTGTCTACTGTCTGTAGTATAAGATAAACAATTGCATACTTTCTTATCTCTGGGTACCTGAGGTGCTGTAGTGCAGGCAAATACTCTGAATGTGGAAACATGTCACTTTTTTTGTATCATATTCGCCACTTATCAGCTGTTTGGGCACTCTATCCAAAGCTGGGACTGGGAAACTTGTGGTGTTTGGTAGGGTCACACTGGATAACCCCCTTCTCATGTGTGTCTGGGCTGAGGCTTGAACCCATGACATATTGGTGAGAGTTATGTGCATTACCACTGTACCACTTTAAAGAGTGTTATGAAGGACGAACCCTCAAGGTATCTGAATGTTATTCTCATAAGGCCCCCTAGCTTAGTGACCTGTTTCACCTTCTTACAATATCCTGAGAACTTTAGTTCATTGTCAGCATATATATCCAGGTCCATTTTGCATATGGTCTCTGTTAATGCTGTTTCTTCATCCTGTTGGGACATAGGATATGTTTCCTTATTGTTCGTATGACTTAGGTGCATCCTTTTGCATTTCGTGACATTGAATCTTAGCAGCTGACAGATCTTCCTGTCGCTCTTCACAGTCTGGTTGGTTCTTAATGTCCCTGAATAACTTGGCATAGTCCAGAAACATTTGTATGGAGGAGTGTTTAGCTTCTGGCATGCCATTTATGAAACAAAAAACAACAACGGGCCCGTGCACTGTCCTGTGGTACCCCGCTTGTCAAGGGTATGCATGACGATTTCGTGCCATTAATAACTACACACTGCTTGTGGTCAATTGAAGTGCTTATTTTCATCTGTTAAACAATCTTCTGCTCATCTGTAGTTTAAACTGGGTGACTCAAAATTTTCTCTATCTTCAGGGTAAGTGAAGAATCTCAGTGTGAAATACTTGATTATTCACCACCTCATATGTATCTTCCCTTTATAACTGGAGGTTTGCCTTCTGGCTGTTTTCCTGTCTATCCACATATTTGTTTCTCTAATATTTTTCATTACCGTGCATTACACATGAACCGGATTTTTTTTTATTATGCAAAACAGGCTCACTGTTGGACACTCATAGGAAACCTGCACTGTAGATGTAATATAGTACTTATTTCTTCTCTGTGCTGAAATATGTAGACAGTATTTTTAGTTTATTTTCATAATGCAACTATTGATTTTGATACTGTTACTTTTGCTCCAGCTGCACAGAGCCTGGACTTCGGTACCTCTGCTGGTGGAGGGGTGGCTGAGGCTCTCAGTGAGATGTTCCACACAATAATCCTGGTGCCAGGCAACTATACCTTAACGTTTGTCCTCAGGAATGAGGTGTCCAACACTACATTCACCACCTGGGTCAGTTGTTGCTTGTTTGTACATATCATCGGTGTTTTTTTACTTATACTGTATAGTGAGAGGACAGCACTAACATTTAGGCTGAACTGTGTTATGGTGACTGTGAAGTGATATTTTCAGTGTTTTTGTGACAGTAAGGTACATTGACTCTGGTGTTTTGAAAATGTGAGCAGTGTCGGCCGCTATCATTGTTTTTGTTATCGACATTCGCTCTATTTTTGTTATAAGTGCTTTTGGTCTGTTTTTGTGTTTGAAGTGAGCAGTGTAACTCTGAAAATGTCTGGGAAGGCCAAGGCATCCAAGACAATCATGTCTCTGAGGTGTAGCTTGACATTCTTAAGCAGCATGTCTCCACTCCACATGTGATGATGACCAGGCTTATTCTTCAGGATATGGTGAGTGATTTTTAATTGCTCTCTGATACATGTGTTTGGGGACTGGCTGGGAATGTATCCCATTGAACCCCATGTTATAATGCTCCCTATTTACGATAATTCACCTAGCGACGGGTTTTTCAGGAACATAACCCCATTGTATCTCGAGGCTTTCCTGTATGTACACACAAATTTCCCCCTTCATTTTTTATTTGAAAATTCATGTGTATAAGATTATTCAAGAATGTTAGTTGAATACTGATTAAATGTACGCAAGAGAAAGTACGCATAAAAATCTAGACCTGCTTAAGGACAAAGTTTATCCCATTTTGTCTACTCCTGGGTCCCCATTTATTTTTTCCCCTTTTTGTCCACTCTGAAATAACTAAATTAGTGTTTTCTTTACACAATAGATGTAATATCAACAGATGTAGTGCAAATCATAGCCATTGTGAGTGGAAGTAATAGGAATGGACAAAATGGGAAATTACCATCTACCAATAATAATACGTAAAAGGACATTCGTATCTGTCTCTGTCTGTGAGTGTGTCTTCCGAAACGTAAGCAGTTAGAGACTTAAAACTTTACAAAGATATTACATGGCTCCCAAGGTTGTGTACCTTGGTACAGTATTACTACTAATCACAGACCCTTGGTTGGTCCAGGCAAGAACCAAAGATCTTCTCTAACTTAGATATCACCACTGTTAGGGAGGGCAAACTTTGACAGTCAAGGTTTTACAGTATATACCTAACCCTAGTGAAGCTGGAGATTTTTGCTAGTTGGAGATAAGCATCTGATGGCTTTATTGCTTATTCCCAATAATCATGCCCCCATCTCATGAATTAACTGCAAGTCAATAAGAGAACTTTTTATTACAGGTGCTGGTGGAGGAGGGATTGGCAGATGTCGTGGGAACTCCTAGATTTATATTGGATGGTATCTTGACTGAGGGTATGGGTGAAAACAAGAATTCCTTCATGTACAACACCACCATCTACTTCCTACCATCTGCCTTGAGAGGAAAGTATTCGTAACTATATTATTGTGTGATTTTTCTCAGCTGAGAAAAGATGCCCTGCCTCGTCCCCAAGAGTTACAGCTGATTGGCCATTGCAAACCTGTCTGATTTCGTCCTGATGGAATGATGCATTTCTAAATGAGTTTATTCAGAATCATTGGGATGACCGTTTCTGACGAGAAAGATATTTAGCTTAATTATACAGTGGTTCCTCAGTTAACGAGCGCCTCGGTTGACGAGATTTCGGTTAACAAGTTACCTTCCATAAGATTCATAACTTCGGTTAACGAGCATTCCCTCGATTAACGAGTTTTTTACAAGCCGACCTCAACATGTTTTTGCTTGCATTTGGCGGTCCACCAGCTGTAGTATTAGTCCGCCAATACAGTAATCGGTTTTAGGGCTTAAATTCCTTACTATTTTAGTAAATATCAAGAAGTTTATACTATTCAATAATTTTAAAAGTTTAATATTAATATTTTTTAGTCATTTTAACAATTATTGAACATAATTGAAGGTAAAGAAACTAGTTTCTGGCATGCCAACCAGCCTGTTAACACACAAACAGGCGTTAGTCTCTCTCTTTTCAGTGGAGGTAACATATTGCTTGAGACTCTCTTCAACTAAATGCTTTTTTCTGTGTTTCCAAGCAAATTATTGGTCATTTTGAAATTTATTTTACATATTGACAATATATAATGCAGTGCAGTGTTGATTTAAAGAAAATAATCTTGAATTACACCAAGAGAACTAAAATTTTATGGGTGAAATGGCGCCATGGGGTGTTTTCTCTTCCACCCCAATGCCTTCTCTTCTCCCTTCTCCTCCATCCCCATTCTAATTCCCATCATCATCATCCAGGAGCCTTCTACATACACACCTCAAAGTAAGTGTGCTTTTCTACATTTTTTGTTGAATTTAGGCAATTTTCTGTGAGCTGGAACCAGTTACCCAAAAACCCATTGAAACAATGGTTTCGGTTAACGAGCAACATGCTGGAACGGATTGTGCTCGTAAACCGAGGGACCACTGTATTAAGATACATACATTCATTATTTTAAACAAAAGTATGTAGAAAGTTTATCAGAAGGTAGGTAGGTAGTATATGTTCATTTGAATGAAGGTAGAATGGAGCTAGTGGGGTGTTTTAGATATCTGTAGGAGGCTGTGTCTCCAGTACAAATGGAATTACAGTACTGTACTGTACTGTATGTAATAAACTGATTCACAGAGTAACAGAAAAAGAGGAAGCAATACCAATAGGTGTGTTGAAATATATGGAGGCAATCATAGGACTGTGTAGTGGACTTGTTGAGCCAACATTGTTATATCAATACTAAACATGGATTCTGTATCCTACAGAAAGAAACAAATTAGAAATGACATCAGTGATATCTTTGAGTGGATAATCTGAGGCCTTATGTACAGGAAGAAAAATGAATCAATTGGTAAAGAGAGTGTGTAAGTCAGTGGTGGATATGAGGAGTGAGAAGGGGAAGACCAAGGAGGTGGCCAGATGGGGGGAAGGATACAGTGGAGGTGAGGGGGATGGACATCAATGTGCTTGAATGAGGGGAAGTTTATATAGGATGGTTTTGGTGGAAACGTGTTGCTGGTTGATGATGCTGCTGATGGTTGTTGTTGTTGTTGCTGGTTGATGATGCTGCTGATGGTTGTTGTTGTTGATGGTTGATGCTGCTGCTGATGGTTGTTGTTGATGATGGTTGATGCTGCTGCTGATGGTTGTTGTTGATGATGGTTGATGATGCTGCTGATGGTTGTTGATGATGATGGTTGATGATGCTGCTGATGGTTGTTGTTGATGGTTGATGCTGCTGATGGTTGTTGTTGTTGATGGTTGATGATGCTGCTGATGGTTGTTGTTGATGATGGTTGATGATGCTGCTGATGGTTGTTGTTGATGATGGTTGATGCTGCTGCTGATGGTTGTTGTTGATGATGGTTGATGATGCTGCTGATGGTTGTTGTTGATGATGGTTGATGCTGCTGATGGTTGTTGTTGTTGATGATTGTTGATGCTGCTGATGGTTGGTTGTTGATGATGGCTGATGATGGTTGATGCTGCTGCTGATGTGTCAGGTTGTTGACGGTTGATGCTGCTGATGGTTGTTGTTGATGATGATGGTTGATGCTGCTGATGGTTGTTGTTGATTATGGCCGATGCTGCTGCTGATGGTTGTTGTTGATGATGGTTGATGCTGCTGATGGTTGTTGATTGGCGGTTGTTGCTTGCTGATGGTTGTTGTTGATGATGGTTGATGCTGATGGTTGTTGTTGATTATGGTTGATGCTGCTGCTGATGGTTGTTGTTGTTGATGATGGTTGATGATGCTGATGGTTGTTGTTAAGGATGGTTGATGCCAGTTGATGGTGGTTGTTGATTGCGGTTGATGCTGCTGATGGTTGTTGTTGATGACGGTTGATGATGCTTGACGGTTGTTGTTGATTATGGCTGATGCTGCTGCTGATGGTTGTTGCTGGATGACGCTGCTGCTGATGGTTGTTGTTGATTATGGCTGTTGATGCTGCTGATGGTTGTTGTTGATGATGGTTGATTGATGCTGCTGATGGTTGTTGTTGATGATGGTTGATGATGCTGCTGATGGTTGTTGTTGATTATGGCTGATGCTGCTGCTGATGGTTGTTGTTGATGCTGCTTGCCGATGGTTGTTGTTGTTGATGATGGCTGATGATGCTGCTGATGTTGTTGTTGATTATGGCTTTGATGCTGCTGCTGATGGTTGCTGTTGATGATGGTTGATGCTGCTGGGCTGATGGTTGTTGCTGATTGGTGGCTGATGCTGCTGATGGTTGTTGTTGATATGGCTGATGATGCCGCTGATGGTTGTTGATGATGATGGTTGATGATGCTGATGGTTGTTGTTGTTGATGACATGATGCTGCTGCTGATGGTTGCTGATGATGATGGTTGATGCTGCTGCTGATGTTGTTGATTATGGTTGATGCTGCTGATGGTTGTTGTTGATGACTTGCCGATGATGCTGATGGCTGTTGCTGATTGGCGGCCGATGCTGCTGCTGATGGTTGCTGCTGATGATGCTGCTGCTGATGGCTGTTGTTGATTATGGTTGTTGATGTGCTGCTGATGGTTGTTGTTGATGATGGTTGATGATGCTGCTGATGGTTGTTGCTGATGATGGCTGATGATGCTGCTGATGGCTGTTGTTGATTATGGCTGATGCTGCTGCTGATGGTTGTTGTTGATGCTGCTGCTGATGGTTGTTGTTGTTTTTTGATGATGGTTGATGATGCTGCTGATGGTTGTTGTTGATTATGGCTGATGCTGCTGTGCTGATGGTTGTTGTTGATGATGGCTGATGCTGCTGCTGGATGGTTGTTGCTGATTGGTGGTTGATGCCGCTGATGGTTGTTGTTGATTATGGTTGATGATGCCGCCATTGTTGATGATGATGGTTGATGATGCTGCTGATGGTTGTTGTTGTTGATGATGGTCAGATGCTGCCGATGGTTGCTGATGATGATGGTTGATGCTGCTGCTGATGGTTGTTGCTGATGATGGTTGATGATGCTGCTGATGGTTGTTGTTGTTGATGGTTGATGCTGCTGATGGCTGTTGGCTGATGGCGGTTGATGATGCTGCTGATGGTTGTTGTTGATGATGAAGATGCTGATGGCTGTTGTTGTTGTTGATGATGGCTGATGCTGCTGCTGATGGTTGTTGGATGATGATGGCTGATGCTGCTGCTGATGGTTGTTGTTGTTGATGATGGTTGATGATGCTGCTGATGGTTGTTGTTGTTGATGGCTGATGATGCTGCTGATGGTTGTTGTTGATGATGCATTGATGCTGCTGCTGATGGTTGTTGTTGTTGATGATGGCTGATGATGCTGCTGATTTTATTGTTGTTGATGATGGCTGATGCTGCTGCTGATGGTTGTTGCTGTTGATGATGGCTTGATGCTGCTGATGGTTGCTGATGATGATGGCTGATGCTGCCGTTGATGGTTGTTGTTGTTGATGATGGTTGATGATGCTGCTGATGGTTGTTGTTGTTGATGGTTGATGATGCTGCTGATGGTTGTTGCTGATGATGGCCGATACGCTGCTGCTGATGGTTGTTGTTGATGATGGCTGATGATGCTGGCTGATGGTTGTTGCTGATGATGGTTGATGTGCTGCTGACGGTTGTTGGTTGATGATGGTTGATGATGCTGCTGATGGTTGTTGCTGATGATGCCGCTGATGGTTGTTGTTGATGATGGTTGATGCTGCTGCTGATGGCTGTTATTGATGGTTGATGATGCTGCTGATGGTTGTTGTTGTTGATGGTTGATGCTGCTGGATGGTTGTTGTTGATGATGGTTGATGCTGCTGCTGATGGTTGTTGTTGATGATGCTGCTGGATGGTTGTTGTTGCTGATGATGGCTGATGATGCTGCTGATGGTTGTTGTTGATGATGTTGCTGATGGTTGTTGCTGATGATGCAGTTGATGCCGCTGATGGTTGTTGTTGATGGTTGATGATGCTGCTGATGGTTGTTGTTGCTGATTGGCGGATGATGCTGCTGCTGATGGTTGTTGATGATGTTGCTGATGGTTGTTGATGATGATGGTTGATGCTGCTGATGGTTGTTGTTGATGATGGTTGATGCTGCTGCTGATGGTTGTTGTTGTTGATGATGGTTGATGCTGCTGATGGTTGTTGTTGATGATGGTTGATGCTGTTGCTGATGGTTGTTGATGATGGTTGATGATGGTTGATGATGCTGCTGATGGTTGTTGTTGATGATGGTTGATGCTGCTGCTGATGGTTGTTGTTGTTGATGATGGTTGATGATGCCTGATGGTTGTTGTTGTTGATGGTTGATGATGCTGCTGATGGTTGTTGTTGATGATGGTTGATGCTGCTGCTGATGGTTGTTGTTGTTGATGATGGTTGATGATGCTGCTGATGGTTGTTGTTGATGATGGTTGATGCTGCTGCTGATGATTGTTGTT